ACATCAACCCCGATATAGAGTAGAATATCAGTTTCCACCCGATAGCGGTCTCCGCTAGCAAACCTGACAGCGGCATCGCTATAATTGTTCCCAGTTGCGATCCTGAGAAAAAAATGTTGCGATCTCATAAAATGTTTAGTTTAGATTAAAAATCCTTCTCTATTATATGCTTAATCTCAAATGACGCGGACTTTATGAGGATGTTCCTCGTTGCCTCTCCTGCAACAGTCAGAGCTGATCTATGCGCTCAATAAGAAACCCAATGTGGTTACTAATTATATGATAACGGCCAACTTAGCAATTAGCAACAGAATCAGAATTTAAGTGATAAATTCATCACGTACCGCCGTAGATGATACCGGCGAGCGTGGTACGCTCCTGCGCGGGCAGCCAGCGACCGAGCAGTGTGTGCGAGGCGGGGAACAGGCACGCCTGCGTCAGCCCCATCAGCACGCGACACGCGCACACCACCGGCCACCCGCCCTGGAACCAATCACCACTAACTTGCTCAAAAATTATTTAAGTAGAACTTTTTCAACTACAATTGTCTCACTCTTGAGTTGTGTCATTAAAATTTTTGGACAATTTGTATGTTACAGGAAAATACAACATTATAAGAGACGTAGACGTAGGTACCAAATAGGAAAGCGTGGGCAGCAAAGCGCAGATGAGACCGTTGGCGAGCAGCGCTACGAGCAACACTGGCTTACCGCCGTAGCGCTTGGCCAGCAGCCCCGCCGGGATCTGCATCAGCGTATAACCCCAGAAAAACGACGAAAGGATCAGCCCCTGAATGTTCTTATCCCATTCGTATATCTGCAAATAAAATTATTTTTAAACTTTGGTGTTTATCGTCCCTAAATAAAACTAATAATTTGGGAGTGTACCTATTCCTTTCGCTTAATTTAACAATGAATACTTTGAAGTGACGTTTGTACAATTCAAATACCGCATAATTAGCCTTAAGACTTAGATTATTGTCAATATATGAACAGATTGTATTTTAGGAATAGAATAATTATCGTTATCTCTTATTTACACGACATATGTAGCTTGTCATGTAAATAAGAGATCACATGATTGCTGGAGGCAGTTATGATTCCTAATGTGACGTAACTATCTTTAATTCTGAAATCTATACTATTATAATAAAGCATAAACACACACTTCTTTGTTGCCTAAGATGTGAGCAATTACAGCATATTTTTGAATAATTATTTTCGTAATAAAAAGCCCTACACTTACGTCATGCTTTAGACTATGAATTTTAACGCCATTAAACATAGGGGGTTAATATTTTGGATAAAAACCCTAATGTGCCACCAAAATTGCCATAGTAAGGTAATTTGTATTTTGACATTTGCAATTGAATATTAAAATAAAATTTTAATAAGTTTATGCGGATGAAGTCGCAGGGGAACAGCTAGTATTTAAATAAAACAATGCACCTGAGACACTCATACCCACGCTTACAACTCATATGATTGATTTGTGCAGCCAATCTGTATAACATCAAACGAAGGACAAGGGCTCCACGTTTTGCTGATGATGGTAATGATGATCTTGATAACAGTGGAGATGACAAAATAGTTGAAAGTGCTGCAGTGTACCGTGATGCCAGTGCTTTTGCTGCGCGTGTGGTCCGTCATGGCGAGCACGGCGACGGCCATGCTGCCGCGTGCTATGAACAACGAGATCATGCAGAGACACATGCACACACTCTGTAAGTGCCGCACGCCGAACCCGTAGCCTGCAAACACACAACATTGCATACATAAATTATAAGCAAGCTTATATTCCGACCTCCGCAACATGGATCGTCTCTTGCATTTTGTACATTGCTGTGCAGACTGTACTGTTGATGAAATTGCAGACGTAGGAAAATGCAAAGTCTTATGCAATTGTCTACGATTTTTACCCGAAAGGAATAGACAGACCTCGAACTACATTCCCGAATTAATACAGAAAGTAACACAAATAATAAAAAATAATTTTTACTTTCAGCTTTGCTAAGTTTAAGGTTCTAGTCGGGATACAGTGTGTTTGTGTCTGTGAGTGTGTACGTGATAGCGCAGTAATGAGCGATAGTTTGGTAGACGCTGCGTCTCCAGCAAGCTTACGTTATCATAATAAAGTGCGCAGTCAAGGGGCCTGTCTCGTGTGATGTCGCTAGGAATGGTCGCGTGTGTCACCGCCGCAGGGGCGTTGCCTGACACCGTCATCTGACAACGTGACGAAGCGTCACGTGCCCACGTAATCTAGTGTCGCATTATATCAAAATTTTCAGTCGCGTGAAGAAGCTGACTAACCAGCCAACAAACCCTATGCTTATTTTTTTATAAGGAGACGTTAAAAGCTGTTTAAATTTTAGACATGTTATGAACATCCATAATCTTTCGTGTAATTATTTATCTATGTGGGTGGGCATTTTGGATTAGTACTCTTTGAAAATGTGACTTTTTTTAATTTCATTGACTGTAAAACACGAAACGATGCGCAAGCGGAGCTTTCTACAGTAATTCTGCGGAGAAACATAGGCATTATTGCAGTTAATTATTCATCCAAACGCAGCCGCAGCGGACAGTATGAATGAAACACTTTAAACCAAAAAAACAAAGTTATCGGGAAGTAATAAGACTCGTGAAAATAATACATTGTTTACAGAAAGATTTCGAATTCAGTAAATGACCTATTTTTGGTTGGACAAAACCAAAAGTTTTCAGTGAAAAAGCGCATTTTTAATGCATATTATCTAAAGCTAATAAAGAAGCAATAGGCCCTGCACTGCAAAAACAGATCTGTGGGAACTGTGGGAACGTTACCTGTCAGCGCAACACCGCACATTGTGAACAAAGCAAATGAGTACAATAATGAGAGATGGAATTGATTGACAAAGTACTTATACTATCACAATAGACTTATAGTTCCTATACATAGTTACGAAGAGATCAATGAGAAGACTCACACGAAGTGCAGCAGTAAACAGTACACGAAGTAAACAGTACAGTAACATGCAGTAGGACAACACAATGACGTTATACTTTACATTTGTTTCTGAGGCGTTCGGAGATCGTCCCAAACTTTCCTTGGCATTTATTTTCGGTAACCATTTTTGGTATATTGTTCGACCTCACACTACAGGTACGCCTTAGGGAATAATATAATTATTGTAGTTCACTGCAAAAGTAGCATTCCATGTGCAAATAAATAAACACGGCAATAAAATAATTCAAACGATAATCAGCGTTATTTTTGGTAAGTTTAAGTTCATAATGCTGAAACCATTTTTCAAATTTCATTGACGTAACGAAATGTCAAGCAGTAATGCCGCGTGATCCAGAAGTAAACAAGTGATTGTATATAAAGATAACTTTGTGTTTAATTGCGTTTACTTTGAAACTAATTTTAGACTCGAGACTACGTTTAGCTTTGCTAATGTTTGCATATTTATTCTAAGATTTCACGAAGTTGAAATACTCACAATTAAAAATATATTTTTATTTATCTTCAATCGACAAACCTCATTTACCTCTTTTAGGAAAAAGGAGTTCCTAGAATAGTCTTTCATAGGAAAGGAGGCTGCGATTACAGTATCAGTTAGTGATTTCCACAGTCCCTTCTTTTGGGAGTCGGAGTTACCCTGGCGTACAACAACTACCGCTGCAACATTCACCTTCTACGAATACATACCTATCGATATATTACTCTTCTATAGAATCTACCGCTGACATTACGGCAAGTACTTTAGGCTCGAGATTTTCTTTCCATTTGTTTTATAATAGTAAAAGTAGTACGCCATTAATTGAATGATACGTAAACCTTATTACTAATAATAAATATAATACGTTAAAATGTAATTCTTCAAAAGTCCAATTATAAAACCACTGCCTTCCTGGACCTAGATCTAAGCGGCGGCGGCGGCAGCAGCGGCAGCGGCGGGCGCTCCCGGCACTCACAACTCGTATTTGCACTTGAGTGCACATCGCACACTGCCCGCGGTGTGGTGTTTACTCTCATAGGATTCCATTATTTATGTATCAACATAGATTTAAATTCGCTTCCCGCATGTCGTATATCGATCGTATATCGTACAACAAATTGTCACTAAGGTGGGGGAGGGGGAAAGGTTACTTGTATTGCATAGGATGTTAACGGTAGTAAATATCTCCGTGGTAAAAATTGCACATATTCAATGCTGTTACCGGTTTGATAAATATTCTTTACTATCTTAAACTTTCATATGATAAGTCAGAAATTATTTGTATTTGCTTATACAAGTAAATTTTCCGAAGAGGCTTTCTTTGACGGAAGTTTCCATTCAGTGTAGAGATTAGGGCAATATATTACACTATTTTTTATCTAAGAAAGCGACAGGTACTTTGCTCGTCACTGTCGGTGTGTATAAACAAGTTGCGAATGTTTGCTTGCGCTCTGGCCGCAGGCAGCCTGGGAGGCTGTCGCCTTTCGCCTGTCGCCTGTCCCCAGTGCGGCAGACACCACTGGAAACGTTACTGGCCGCTGCACGCGGCGCGGCGACTGTCAACACCGGAGTCACTTGTAGGAACCACGAAATTAACATGAACACTCAATATGCAATTTTGAAAAAAAAAAATCACTATATTTAAGCATATCCGTTCATGGAAAATGCGTCCTAGCAATTAAATAATATAGAAATGATGTTGCGAGAACAACAATGTTTCTTATAAAGCTGCAGGATACAGCCTGAACCCGCCCGCAGGCACACGCAATCGGTCGCTGTAAATCTTACAAGCTTACATTTTGCAGTAGGTACTGTAACAGCAAATATATACATGACGTTTACTTTACTGTCCAACTTATATTCATCTTTTCATCCAATTAAATAAAATATCAATTAAGCTTTTCCCTGACTGAAATAAGTGACGCAACGCAAAAAGACGGTCGCGCATTTGCATGCAAGTGATTAGAGCCTCGTGCTATGATTGTATGTATTTAGTATTGGAAATAATCAATCCAGCCGCTGGCATTAATGAATAGAAACCAACTATATTTTATTGACTCTATTTAACTTTTTCGATTGTTTTGTTGACCTTTAAAACAATGGTCATTTCTTTGCCGAAATACAGAGAAAAATCTCTTGTATGTTTCAAAAGAATATATATATCGTTGCCGATCTAAATATGATATCGCGGACTATGTTTTGGATTTAATTACAGGTGTTTTACGGGAACCATTTCAGTGGTCTGATTAATCAATCTAATGGGAATAAATGGTAAAAATGAAACAGGCTTAAAACACGACGGCTGTCAAGTCAATGTAAAGAGATAATTGTAGCATTGTTGTAGTCTAAGGGTGAGTTGCACCATATCGCCGGTTACCGTTAAAGTTAAAATTATTTGTAACAGTAATATTTGGAATAACCTTAAAATTTAATAAGGATGAGTTACATTAACTAACT